ACAAGGGGCCAGTATTGTGGTAATTGTTTTGCCGGCGCAGGCCCGACAGTCTACCAAAGCGCCCTTTTAACCGGAATTCCACCCTCCCTTCCTCCCTCAGGGCGTGACCAACGAGCATTTCATCGTCTGGATGCGCACGGCGGGCTTGCCGACCTTCCGAAAGCTCTACGGCAAGATTGACCAGGACTTGCCCGCGGGGACGCAGCTCTCCTTCACGGTGCACCCCGGTAAGGCGGGACGAAGGGGGAAGAGCCGGGCTATTGGGGGACGGAGGCCACGGTCGACTCTCTTATATTGCTGACCGGGTGTATCCATCAGCCCCCGGCCCTGAAATGCTTTCCCTTTTTCTCTTCCCGGCGGCCCGTCGCCCAGGATTTGAGGTGGTGTCCTTCTCGGGAAGGAAACACTTGGTCGTGTCCACCGTGTCATGGTTCGGCGGCGCCAATAGTTTCTTGGGAATTTCTTACATAGTGGTGGGATCCCTATGTCTCTTCCTGGCCGCTCTTTTCGGAATCAAACAAGCCACGTGCCCGCGCAAACTGGGGGATACGCGATATTTGGTAGGGAGACTGGGAGGTTGTGGGATTGGAACGCCGGAGGGGCCTGGTGCGTGGAGGCAGTCCTTAATTTTTTCTAATCATATTACATAGGGATGGAAAGAACAGTAGGGAGCAGCAGCAGAAACAATGACGGCCAACGGCGGCTTACCTCGACGACGCGGGATGGGGTTTGGGAGGAACCAAGACGAGAACACGAGGAGGGCGAGTTGGAGATCCCGCGGGAAAAGTATCGCAGTCTATGTTTCTCCTCAACAAAATGCATGTTTAAAAGAAAATGAGTATTTTTAGAAAAACAAAAGAAAAAGTGATACGAATGACTGTCATGGCGGATAAGGCAGAGAAGAGGGACGAGGGGAAGGCCGTTCCAGTCATTATAATGCTCAAATGTAGCATACTGGTCTCATGATGACGAAAACATGACCAAAATTAGCCACCGTTGACGGCTCCGCACCACCTTCAGTGCTTCGTTATTACTTGCTTGTCTTAAAAGGTGTCCGTCTTCAAGTTCACACCGGGCACGACACGCGTTTCTGCCCTCGCCTGCTACTTTCCAGCGACGCGGTGTTCGTGTTCGCTCTTTTGTTCTTGCACTTGAGAATGGCTGACACAGAAATGCCCCGCAAGAGGTATGACAAGGCAAAAATATATAGAATTGCGGACCCAAGTACTTCGGTAGACGATGTCGTGTGCTGGAGTACGGGACGGTCCCACATGATGCTTTCGCGGTGAAATTCTCACATATACATAAGGACATGCGTCACGCGCATGCAAAGTTAGTTGTTGAGTGACTCGATGTTGAGGTGATGCTCCGAGAAACTGGACGAACGAAATCACAAAGATGCGACGGTGCAGCCGCGGTCTTTGCCCAGCATGCCACCTTAAAACACTTCTTCCGTTAGTAATGCGTGAGCCATGCTACATGTGGCATGGTGGAGGGCTTGTGCGACATCTATGTGGTCGTGTCCGCAGCACTCTCGGCCGCCGGTCATTCTTGTTCTTCGCTTGGAACCGGAACACTAAGGATTCCGTGCCCACTGTCTTTGAAATTGGGGTGAATCGCGGGCTTTATCCAGCATCCGTAGCGTACATGTGTGTTTTTGCGTGCTTGGCACATTTAATTGTGATGGGACTCGAGTCCTTTGACGCTCGCGGCGGGCTTGTGGACTCCGACCAAATTTCGTGCCGGCGTTTCGAGCATGCATCGCTCAGGACGAAAGGAGGCGCTTCTTTTTTCAGAATGAAAGTTTTCATGATTCAGTTTCTTTTCCTACCACAGGTTCACCATATCCCTATGACCTTGCGACAGGCTTAAATAGTTTGTGGGTTCTATAGTTGTCAAAAAGACAAATCACAGGTGCACACGTACTGAAAAAAGGACTTGTAGGGCTCGTCAGGTCGTCGCCTGTGGCTCCACATCCTTAAAATACCAATTGAGCAAACAAAGGACATCGCCGGAGGCACCGACGCAAGAAGTGGGAGTTCCTGTGTGCTGGTAACATGATGGCGGGTCCTCGAAGCCAATCACGCGGCCATGGCCTCGCCCAGGCTGATGGGCTCACGTCGAAGGGGACATTGCCGTCGGGCATAACGGTTCAAGAGCTAAAGCAAATAACGGCCTTGCGCATGGCTCAGCTGTGTCAACCCCCTTCGCAGCCACACGCAACGCATCAAACTCCGCGTTCCACGGGCCTCTCTCAGGAGGACGAGCCTGCACCGCGTGCGGCTCCCAGCCTGCCGGGGCTTAGCAGGACTCATCCGCTGGTTTCGCAAGCCGCCACCTTGTCGAGGGCTTCTCATTCGCACACGGCTGTCTCGTTGAAAGGGATATCGACTCACGACCTGGTCCAACAATCTCCTGGTGGAAGCATGGGCGGGAACGAGAAAGCTCTGGAGTCACGCGAGGGTCCGAGCACCCGCAGCTGCCCTACCGGCTACGGTACCCCTCTTGGCCTGAGGAATGAAAGCAAAAGGGAGTCTGAGAACAGAGAGAAGGCTGTCTCGAGCGTGTCCTGTGGGACAGACCGGGCCTGCTTAGACCTTTCCCTTGGCTGTCGTCTTGACAAGAAGACAGCGGGTTGCTCCACCTCGACCCCCTGGGAGGCGGGAGCCAGTGGGAGCGGGCAGCTCAGTACATCTCCCTCCTCACTCGAAAGCGACGCGCAAAGCCTTTCAAGCACCAACCGTGGGACCAGCCCCGGTCTGGCGTCCTCCAGGGGCGGCGGCAACAGCAGCATCCCCACCAGCAGTCTGCCGCACAGTTTGACAGTGCAGGAGCTGAAAGAGCTGACACGAATGCGCCTGGCTCGCGAAGCGGGGATCGTCACCCTCCCGGGCACCATGGAGGGAGGGCCGGACACGCGTCTCTCCCCTGAGGAAGGCCGTTCTCAGTATGCCCCAAAGCATGGGCAAGGCCCGCGGACAATGCGGCAGCCGACGCACCCACACCGGTGTCGAGGGCCCTCGCCATCCACCTCGTCGACCCCAGCCTCGCCTATGAACTCGCCCATGGTCTCTCGACCCCCCAGCCCCCAGCTCTATCCGATGAAGGGCCAGTCGTCGGAGAGCTCCACAGAGGAGACGGCCACCCAGTCTTCTCTCCCGACCTCCGCCGTTGCTCCCTCCCCGATTCCCTGTGGTGGGGCGCCCCTCTCCTCCTCCTGCCCGGCTAGCTCGCCCTCCTTCTCTTTTCCGGGTGTCCCGGAATGTGCGAACCCCCCTGGCACCCGCGACTCGGTCCCCAATATGGGCCTCCGTGACCAGGAGAGACGACCAGAACTGGACTCGGAGGGCCAAGGGGGCGAGCAGAGCGTGGGGGAAGCGGAATGGGAAGGCGCGAACGGAGGGTTGGAAAAACAGGAGGCGAGGGTCGTGGCCAGCCCGGGGAGGGAGGTGAAGAGCGAAGGGACCAAGTGTAGGCGACCCGTTGCGACGCAAAGGGAAGCATGGGTGGTCTCGGACGATGCCGAGGCGCCCACCAGCAGCCTTCCGTCGCACTCGCCGAGCTACGATCCCGCGAGTCGGGAATGTCCCGCCTTTTCCTTTGGCGCGCCTTCACTCAGCAGAGGCACCCTGGGCCTTGGGGCGAGCCTGGGGATGCGGTTAATGGTTCCCTCTCCCAGGACCATGGCCATGGGCGCTCACGTTCGCGGGAGCAGCGACGATCTCTGCATGCCGTCCTTACGCCTGCGCTCCATCTCGTCCACGTCCTCCTCCGCGGAGATGGAGGATTTGCCCCGGGAGGTGGCTGAGTACGTCCTGCTCACGCCCAAGTCCCCCGGCTCTCCTCTCATGGCGAACGCCCTCAGCTTCCCTGGCAACAGTGGTCAGTATGGCAGTGCGGCCTCTGCCGGTGCCAGCCGTCCTGTCCTGA